TCAGGAGATGTACAGCTGTGTATCATCAGGAGATGTACAGCTGTGTATCATCAGGAGATGTACAGCTGTGTATCATCAGAGACATGGAGATGTACAGCTGTGTATCATCAGGAGATGTACAGCTGTGTATCATCAGGAGATGTACAGCTGTGTATCATCAGAGACATGGAGATGTACAGCTGTGTATCATCAGGAGATGTACAGCTGTGTATCATCAGAGACATGGAGATGTACAGCTGTGTATCATCAGGAGATGTACAGCTGTGTATCATCAGAGACATGGAGATGTACAGTTGTGTATCATCAGGAGATGTACAGCTGTGTATCATCAGAGACATGGAGATGTACAGCTGTGTATCATCAGAGACATGGAGATGTACAGCTGTGTATCATCTGCATAACTGTGGAAGTTAATTCATGTCTCCTGACGACACCGCCAAGAGGAGCATGTACAGGTTAAAAAGGACTGGACCTAAAATGGAACCCTGGGGCACACCACATGTGATTTTTATGGACCTGAGAGGAGCAGGTATCCAAACTCACCATGAAGGATCTGTCTGTTAAATAAGAAGTGAACCATTTGTGGACAGCACCAGAGAGGCCGAGGTGTTGTAGGCGTGATAAAAGAATGGTGTGGTCTACTGTATCAAAGGCAGCGCTTAGATCCAGTAGAACCAACACAGTCACAACCTTTTTAGAATCATAATTTAGTCTAAAATCATTTAAAAAAATCTTTGAAAGAGCAGTCTCTGTGCTGTGGTTCACCCTAAAACCTGATTGAACTTTCTCTAAAATTTGCTGCTGATCTAAAAAAGGGTAAAAACAAGTTTTTTCTAAAATTTTGCTTAAAAATGGTAAGTTGGATACCGGTCTGTAGTTGTTAAAATCATTAAAATCTAAATTGCTCTTCTTCAGAAGGGGCCTCACCACAGCCGCTTTGAAGGCTGCAGGAAAGACCCCCAGTCTGAAGAGAGCAATTCCATCAGGTTTAAAAAGCTCCTCTCTAAAAGATTCATAAAATGACTTAAAAAATGGAGTGGGGACTGGATCTAAAAGACATGTGGTGGGCCTCACTGAGGAGAAAACTTTATCAAACATCTCAGCATCAACCAGGACAAAAACTGTCCAGTGTTTCCTCTGGTGAAGACAAACAATCAGATGTGTTAAAAACAGTTGTGCGGTTGGATAAAATGTTACATCTGATTGTATTTATCTTCCCCGTGAAGTGGACTGCAAAATCCTCACAGAGGGAGTCTGTGGGGGTTAAAAGAGACATGTTAAAATCAGGGTTTAAAATGGTGTCGATGGTTGAAAATAGGATTATTTTTGTTCTGGCTGATTAGATTTGCAAAGTAATTGTTCCTGTTTTTCCTGATTGTGTTGTTGTAAATTTGCTGTTGGTTTTTATAAAACCATCTTCTTCATCATAATAACCTGTGAAATCAATGTATCCTCAGGTGAGGTAGGCTGAAGTGTTGCTTAGGTCCTGGATCTACAGCCCGATCCCTCTCTCAATATGTGGGTCTCGTCGAGGTTTCTCTCTTTTTTTCCCCCACTGAGTTTTTGTGAGTTTTTCCTTGCCGATGCAGGAGGATTAGGGTAAGATAAGATAAGAGATAAGATAGACTTTATTGATCTCACACAGGAGAAATTTACATGTCACATTTGGCATGGATAGAAACACTCAGATTGTGCAGAAAGTTAACGTACAAGATGTTAATGCAGGATATATTATGTACAAATAGTAGTGCAGGTTTTTTCAGTCTTATACAGTGACTTAAAGTGATTTGTTGTACAGTCTGACAGCGGTGGGGATAAAGACCCTGCTCCTTCCTACACTGAGGGTGCCTCAGTCTTCCTCTGAAGGAGCTCCTCAGCTCAATACAGAATACAGGAGGAGAATACAGGAGGAGAATACAGGAGGAGAATACAGGAGGAGAATACAGGATGAGAATACAGGAGGAGAATACAGGAGGAGAATACAGGATGAGAATACAGGAGGAGAATACAGGAGGAGAATACAGGAGGAGAATACAGGAGGAGAATACAGGAGGAGAATACAGGAGGAGAATACAAGAGGAGAATACAGGAATGAGGAACTTTCTCTCGTTGCATTTCAAAAGAGAAAACAGATGTCAGCCAGTTTTCAATGGTAAACAAATTCCAACGTTCATTTACAGAGATGTCGTGGCGTTCATGACACATCATGTGAACTAATTCATGTGTTGCGTTCAGTTCAACGTTCACAAAAAAATGAGCGTGTTCAATGAACGCGTTCTTTTGATCTCGTTCACGCACAACACTGGTCCGAGACACACAAAGTTCAGATGATGAACAAAGTTGAGGATTGACTTCTGGCCTAGGGTGTCCTGGTGCCTCGTGCACTGGTGGACACCCTTGTGCTCGATCATGGTGTTTGTGATGGACCAACTGTGACTAACGCTCAGATCAGGTGTAGCCTGGTCTTACCACACCATAGTACAAATTGCAGTGAAATGATGATTAGAACAGAGTGTATGGATGGCTAAGGCCAGGCTAGATCAGGCGGGGTCGTTCTTCCCAATCGCTTCTCTCCAAGTGTCACTGGCATTTACCAAATGGGTCCCCAGGCACCGTCCAGTATCCCTTGCAAAGATTCCAAGAAGGCCGAAACAGCGAGAGACTTGTCCCCCACTCAAAGGCGGAGGGACTCGTGCTGACCCTGTATGCAGGGCTGGACTGGGACAAAAAAACGGCATTTTTTCCTTTTTTCCTACTGTCTGGAGCCGCAAAAAAAACAAAACAGCGTTGTATAAGGCTTATATGAAGGTAACAGGGGCTGAAGCTGTATTAGCTACATTAGCTACATTAGCTATATTAGCTATATTAGCCTAATATCTAAATGACAAAGTAAAGGCTACAAACACATAAAAACCATTCATGATTATCAAATGTGTATTTTCACTGCAGCGTGTCCTGGAGAGAATGACGCACCACGTGACAACTCTGCTTTAACTTTAACCTTCATGCAATTGTACAAATATAGTAAATAAATCTGCTTTTTGGCTCCGAGTTCACCTGCATCACTGTCTGTTCATATCCATCACAGGCAGAAGTTGCTGGAGCTGAATGTCCTTAATGGCCTTTTCTTTCACCGTCTTTGAGAAGGTATTTGAAGTCTGAAAATAGGTGCTCTGACTTTATGATGAATGAATCTTTCAGTGAACAGTGTTTAAAGCTTCATTGTTCCTCCTCTTGCAACAAAACTTTTCATTACATTGCAAACATGAAGCAGTCCTTCCTCATTGACTGAAAGCAAATGTTCATTCTCATTCTTAGTCCAGTCTTATCGACTCTCTTTATCTTTGGGATCCATGCGCACACACAGTCTATAATGTTTGTTTACAGCAGCGGCCGCCTGGCACGGGCCGCGTCACAGGATATGATGCACTACGTTGACAGAAATGCTAAAATTGAACATTACTTATACAAGTTTTTGCAGCATTGAAAAACGTTAATGTTTTTCCTCCTACAGAAACCACATTCAAACTAGAAATAAAATATAGCCCTCACACTCTTTTTTTTTGAAAAGGCTCCAGGAGCCACTTTAGGGGCACTAAAGGTTGACGACCCCTGGTTTATACAGTATGTGGAAGCAAATACTGTAGAGGATCAGGATGTCTGCAGTTTCAACAATAAAATAAAGTACAATAGTCTACATTAAAGAGAGTAATGAACATGTCTCAGAGTGAGGGAGGTGGACACAGACAACACTATTGTTTGTTACAGGGATGAGAATTGGTCAAAAAAGACTGAAATACATATTGTCAGCCATTTGCTGGCTCTAAATCTGTTTAATCTGTTCACAACAATTTACTTTTGGGCTCAAACATGAACTTTTAATGCAATGGAAAATTTAGGTACCCGAGCTTTAATTTAGAGGAGAGGGGAGACGTGGACTGTTTCCTGCAGCGGTGTATTTATTGGGTGCACAAATTACAAAAATACATGCATGGTCCTGTGCGCGTTTATGGTCTTGGGTACATGGTCACGTTGCGGCCACGCGCTCACCGTGTTGTGTTGTGAGCGGCTCCCGGTGAGCGGTTCCTGCGTCCAGCTCAGAGCCGCTGGATGCGGGAACACTGCGGCCGCTGAGGTGGTGGAATCCCGTTCGAGTACATACAGCAGGTGCCCCGCGGACACGCGCGCTCCCCTCAAACATTTCTCAACGGATTTACACTTTTCACAAACATGTTTTTTGTATTAGACAGACCGGCCCAAATATGGGCATCGGCCCTTCTGGCATTGCCCGGTACGCCCGATGGCCAGTCCAGCCCTGCCTGTATGTGCCTTTCACATGTACTGATTACTAGTCACTTTCCATACTGTTATCATTATTTATTCTGGTTAATTGCTGCTAATGTATTAACATATTTTACAGAATACTGTGAAACCCTTACTACTTAACTACAGTGTATACTCAAGTAAGCAGTATACAGTTGCAGTTTATAACAAAAAATCTTTTGATCTACTGACTCTCAATATTGTTAATTTGCTTCCGTCTCAGTTCTATCAGTGTCTACAACATTTATGGACATGTATCAACATTCATGGACATTGGTCAACTCCCCCTACAGTAAATACCAATACCTATGTGTTCTATTTTTGTGTGTTTGAAATGTTTGATTCTGATGAGATGACTAATGGTGTGATTTAGAGCTACATAAGACTTCAGTTCATCATCGCTTATGGCTATATTTACTTTTTATTACAATACAAATTAAATTAAAAATATTGATTTGCTTCCCTGGACCTGGGATGTATTTTATTATTCTGTTCAAATACGTATACATCAAATTTATTAAGAAGTGTACTGTCAGTTCCCTTGTGAAACTACAGTATATCATGTAGCTGTAAAAAGACAATTATGGTGAATAATTGGGAAACTAGTATTTAAGAATTTTATGCTTGAACTTATAAATCTATTATTTTGTTTAAACACTGAACTGATACTGACTCACCTTTAGTGTTGTTAATGTTGCAGTTGTCCGTGTCACAGCAGGAAGTGAAGATTAGCTTAGACAGCAAGCCAATGTCATATGAGACAAGGTTAGTTCCTACAGATGTGCACTTCTCAGGTGAAGCACAACCCTTCCGTACGCTTGTATACTTCCCATAACGAGAATGGTAATCTGAAACACAAAAGAAAACAGCATTTTTCCACTCCCACCGCCTTCCAATATAGAAAATGAAGAGCTGAGATGTTTAATACGTCAGTCGCCATCTACCGGTTGATTGCAAAGGCAGCTTGGTCAGGACAGGTCCCATGCAACACGTACATGTACACACGTGTTTCATTCATGAAAAGCCTGAGGACAGAATGACACTTCGCCATATGTGCTTTGCTATTAAGCTTGTGCACTCAATCCTCTGCGCAAGCGGGACATTACAAGACCGCAGTTCACGCTAAACCACCTGTTATTCTGATTTGATGTGTTGATGTTTGAGAACTTCATTCCTGCCCAACCCTGAACCCTGTCATTTCTTGAATGTTTTCTGCAAGCTCTGTCTGAGCTGCTGTGTATCACGACATGCTGCTATATTTAACCTGTTGATATCCACCTCATTGTAGCTTGTGCACAATAGTTGGGCATACCCAAATGTCTTTGCATATTTAAAAATACACCTTACATATCACATGCTTGTGTAATGCATCATTTTGAAGCTGGACCCTTCTATTTTTAGCCTTGCCTAAAATATTCAATTTATAAAATTGAAAAATTGACCGTAGCAAATGTATACTTCATTGGAAGCTCACAATATTCAAACCCTATGGTCATTTTTGTTGGCAACAACTGTCTACATTTTCAGACCTCTATGTTTTATAGTTTTGATGCAGTTGTCCTTTTTTCATGGTTCTGTCCATGCGTCTATGGTTCTGTCTGGGCGCGTCTATGGTTCTGTCCACGCGTCTATGGTTCTGTCCACGCGTCTATGGTTCTATCCGCACGTCTGTCCACGCGTCTATGACCTGCGCGTCTATGACCTGCGCGTCTATGACCTGCGCGTCTATGGTTCTGTCTGCGCGTGCGTCTATGGTTCTGTCCACGCGTCTATGGTTCTGTCCACGCGTCTATGGTTCTATCCGCACGTCTGTCCACGCGTCTATGACCTGCGCGTCTATGGTTCTATCCGCACGTCTGTCCACGCGTCTATGCCGCAAATTCAGCCATGTGGTTGTAAAGACGCGTTTTTGACGTCTCTGCTCTGTTTACCCTTTTAAGCCTTTTAAAGCCTTTTAAAGCCTTTTAAACACGTTTTTACGGTGTATTAGTGTCTTTTATACACTCTAGTGTTTTTACCTTAAATGCAATGGTTCCAGAGCATCACGTCTTTTAACACAAAGACCCAATCGAAACGCGCTAGCTCGGAGGCTACCACGAGCGCACCACAGACATGGAAAGTGACACTGCAATGACCACGAACGACATTAGTCGCCTCACATTGGAGCTTCGTGAGAGGGACCGTGCCACTATTGCAGACCTCCGTAAAGAAGTCCTTCGCCTCACTGCAGAGCTGCAGGATAAACAGTCACTCGTGTCCAAACTTTTTGATGTCGCTGGCGGGCAGCACTCACGGCTTATGTCACTGAGCGCTGCATACTGTGACACTGTCGTGTGGGAGAGATCTGTCAGCTCTGGACCCTCCTGTTCTACACCTAAGCGCCCGGTTCCGAATGAGGAACCCGCGAACTGCGAGGAGCCATCCAGCGCCGTGGCCCATGTCCTGAGCCTGTCAAACCGCTATGCAGCCCTCTCCGCTGACATCCCAGCCCCCTCAGCAGAACCTCTGGACTCTGCAGCGTACTCTGCCGTTCGTGGATCCAGGTCCACTGCGAGAAAAACGCTCCTAAAGGAAGCCGTCCTCAGACGAAAGAGTGATCATTCCCCTTCTCTGACCCCAGTGCATCACCACCACTTACCTTCACCGGGTCAGCAGCAGCGACCCGAGCCTGCTCCTCTCGCCGCTCCAGCGTCCCCGAGCACACAGCGTGGGTTGCCCGGAGCTGAGAATCAACACCCCCGCTCCCCTCCATGTGTTCAGCAGCGCCCTGGTTCGGACTCATCCCTGGATGAGCCCGCTGGTTCCGGCCATGGACACCGAGCGCCTTCTCCGCGGCTACGTCCACTCTTCGCCCCAACTACTCTGATTATTGGAGATTCCATCGTGAGGCACGTCCGCTTTTTTAACGCGGTCACTCAGTGTTTTCCCGGAGCTACTGTTCCAGATCTGCTCATCCGTCTCCCTCCTCTGCTTCAGTCCCTGCCTGATACCATTTCAAAGGTAATCGTGCATGTGGGGATCAACGACATGAAGCTGCAGCAGTCCGAGGTCACAAAGAAGCATTTTATGGATCTATTCCGTCTTCTCCAGTCCTCTGGGTTGTGTGTTTTTATCTCTGGTCCAGTCCCGACTGTAAACCGGGGAGACTGCTTGTACAGTCGCGTTGTGGCGCTGAATATGTGGCTCCAGTCTACATGCAGCACTTTTAACTTTGTTTTTGTGAACAACTTTGGCCTGTTCTGGAAGCGTCACGTGGCCTATCGTCCAGATGGTCTGCACCCGAACAGATACGGTACCAGTTTATTGATGGACTTTTTACGCCATGTTGTTCAGTGCTCCCCGAGGGGGGCGTGACTGTTTACATCCGAGGCCTCTCGGCCCCCACTACCACCTTCCTCCTCCACTCCAGCACCGGGTGAGTACTGTGGTGCAAACACTGACCCCTGTCCGTCTGGCAGTGTAATACCAGTCCTGCCATTGAACGGTGCTTACTCAGCCATGCATCTGGAACTTAACAAAGTAAAACAGAGTTCACTTTTTAAACCAATAGAGACTGTGTGTGTTCCTCGCAACGGCTCAGAAATGTGTTTTAATTTGAATAAACACAAATATAACAGAAGGACAGCAGTTAGACGGTCCAACTCAGGAAATCTAATTCCAATTCTTTGTAGTCAATCAACTAAACCCACTGACACTGACATTATTTTTAACCTTGCTCTGCTTAATGTCAGATCACTATGCAATAAATCCTTTTTAATTAATAATTTTTATCTGTTCTTATGATCTTGACTTTATGTTTATGACTGAAACTTGGCTTGACCATAATACAGAAAATGCAGTTTTAATAGAAACAACACCACCAAATTTCAAATTTGAATCAGAAATTCGAGAAAATAAAAGAGGAGGAGGCACAGCAGCAGTTTTTAAAGATTGTATTGTCTCCCATAGAGTACCTCTTGGGAAATTTTCCTCATTTGAGTATGTCTCTTTTAAAATAGAACAAAAACAATCTTCTATTCTTATTATTGTTGTGTACAAGCCGCCACAGTCATGTCATAGTTTCACTGATCATTTCACCGAGTTGCTTTCAGTTGTGTGCACAGACTTTGATAGTTTAGTCGTCATAGGTGATTTTAATATACATGTAGATAACGTTAATGATAGATACGCGAAAGAGCTGAGCTCTGTGCTGGAAACCTTGTGGTCTCACTCAGCATGTGAGTGGCCCCACCCATAGCAGAGGACACACTCTCGATCTGCTAATTACTAAAGGGGTTAATATCTCAAATGTAAATGTGGCCAATGTTGCTCTGTCAGATCATTTCTGTGTATTTTTTGATATGTGTCTCAATAGTAAAGCACGAGCTGAATCCTCAATTGTTAGAAGAAGAAGACACATAAACAAAAATACAGGTGAACTTTTCATGGGGATGATAAACTTTGATAACACGTTGTGTTCTACGGTGGATGAATTACTTAACTCTGTCACCTCTAGTGTTTTGGATGTTCTGGACACGATTGCTCCTGTAAAGGTCAAAATTGTTACAAATAAGCAAAAGGCGCCATGGACAAAAGCAGACTCTGTCAGGGCACAGAAGAGAGAGTGCCGGAGAGCCGAGCGGAAGTGGCGAAAGTCAAATCTCCAAGTTGACCATGAGATCTTCAAAGATGCATTGTGCAAGTTCAACAGTGTGCTACGTAGAACGAGGGAAACTTATTTTTCCGAAACAATCGAAGGTTGTAGTGGCAATCTACGCGTTCTGTTCTCAACGGTAAATAAATTGACAAATCCCCCTGTTAAGATGCCATCAGAGCTTACCTCCAAAACCAAATGTAATGAGTTTGCAGAGTTTTTTAATGACAAAGTCCAAGGCATCAAAAATGCCATCACCTCCACAGTAGAAATTACAATCCAACAGCCAGTGAAGCTTTTTGGGCTGACACACTTTACACCAGTACAAAATGAAACTGTCCAAATGATAATTACAAGTCTGAGTTCTTCTACATGTAGCCTGGATGTATTACCTCCTAGATTTCTTAAATCTGTTCTGAGCAGTCTTTTACCTTCACTCACGCATATAGTAAATATGTCTCTTGAATCTGGAACATTCCCAATGGCCCTGAAAACGGCAGTCATCAGACCCCTCCTAAAAAAGAGGAGTCTGGATGCCTTGGCACTTAAAAGTTATCGGCCCATTTCAAATCTGCCTTTCATGGGTAAAATTCTAGAAAAAGTTGTCTATCAACAACTTACAGAATTTTTAATAATCAATCACTCTTTTGATATGTTCCAGTCTGGTTTTAGACCCCACCACAGCACAGAGACCGCTCTAGTGAAGGTAACAAATGACATCAGACTTAACACTGACGCAGGAAAAGTCTCAGTTCTTATCCTGTTAGATTTGAGTGCTGCTTTCGACACTGTTGATCATGGTATCCTCATTCAGAGACTTGAGGACTGGGTTGGTGTTTCTGGAACAGCCCTAAGCTGGTTTATATCCTACCTACAGGACAGAAAGTATTTTGTGGAGATCGGAAACTGTATCTCAGACCATCTGGCCCTGACCTGCGGAGTGCCACAGGGCTCAATCCTGGGGCCTCTCCTGTTTAATATTTACATGCTGCCTCTGGGTAGGTTAATACACAGTAATAACGTGTCCTATCACAATTACGCTGACGATACTCAGGTCTATGTGTCCCTGACAGCAGGAGAACATGGACCAGTGGACTCGCTCCTTCACTGTATCCAACAGATCAGTGATTGGATGCAAAATAACTTTCTCCAGCTAAACACAGAAAAAACTGAAATTATTGTTTTCGGACCTCAGAAACA